TGTTAATATTATTTCATCTATAGGGGGAGCTCTTACCTCTTAGATATGACATTGTATTTATTCTGCAGGTTCAGCATGTGAAACACCCAGGACTGAAATGATAGATTTGCAATATCAGCTTAAACAATTCAAGGACTGTTAACCCCTTATGCACAAAGAGACATAATTATTAAAAAAAAATATTGGAAAGGAAAATTGCACTCTCTTGAGTGCAAAAGAGTGCTTGTTCTTTTTGCTTTCAGAATCTCTCTCCTCCAAGTGATCGGTTAGATCTGGTTTACATTTCTCTCTCCGCCCCGTGCCCTTCACTTATAGAATGGGCAATAAAGGGAACTTGCTATTGCATTTATAGGTGTGAAGCATTCATTTGGTTCCTCGTAACTTTCAATTATTTCTCATCCTTGCAACTTTAAGGTGTGTGGACTTCGATTCCCAGAATTCCCCAGCACCAAGAAGTCTACACATCTTAGAGTTGCTAAGGTTGAGAAATACTTTTTTCGGATGCCTTCAAGTCAGGGTTGAATCCTGCCTGGCCTAGTCTCTGTAATTTTCTTGGGAAGGTTTTTCGGAAGTGGTTTGCCATTGCCTCCTTCCTAGACTGGCCCAAAGTCATCCAATTGGCTTCGTGCTCAAGGCAGCACGAGAATTCACAGTCTCCTGGTCTCTAGCCTGATGATTTAATCACTATACAAAACTGGCTCCTGTGAGAAACACTGCCTTTACAGCAAAACTCAGCTTCTTACCTCAGAGACAGATGAAGGCCATTGTGAATATCCGGCTGACAGCTGGTACTCTGTCACTCTAAAGAAAAGTAAAAAACTTCAGATGTGTCACCCAGCACATTTGAGACAAGCTCCTTAGTTGGCATCTTCATTCAAAAGTGTGCTTGCATGGTTGATGGAAGTCCCATAGCTGAACCTCCTGCCAGCATCTGAGCAACATATGTTTATTACTCTGCAGCTTGAATAATCTATGAGAATATTTAAGCAGAGGTGCCCCATCTCCTTCCCTTTTATTTCTCTGCTTGGGTGCTCCTTCTTACAGCTAGAACTGGAAGGCCAGCCTGCATGGATGTGTTCAAGGATAACATCTGTTCGTTCCATTTCCCTGAATATCTTCTATTGCCAAGCAAGCTCTGTGGAATTTGGCCAGACCCAGGAATGCAACCCCACAAGTTTTGAAGCTTACTTACTTGCAAGGTTTTCGGCATTTAGTGAAGCAGCCTAGGTGGTTTGCTTTAAATTCAGCTTGGAGTTTATAATAGCAATAACCTAATAAAAAATAAATAAGCATGTATTAATTGAACATTTTTTTTATGAACAAAAGGAGCTGATGGGGGGGGGTTACAGACATATGATACGGATGGATTCCTCCCTGCCTTTCTCTGTACTTACCCCAGGCTACATGCTTAGCGGAGTCACAGTACTCTGCTCTTGGGGGTAAGGGGTAGAAGTAATGGCCACAGCCACATCGTTCTACCATACTGGTCTGGAAACAGGAACGTATGCAGACCTAGAAACACAAAAAGAGACATTTGAATATTCAGCTGTGCATTCATGCTGGGAAATTTTTGATGATGGGAATAATCCCAATGCAGGGAGAGGGCTGGGCAGAATGAGAGTGGTTCTGTTGAGGGAAGATACCTGCTCAGTGTAAAGAGATGGGAATAGGTTCTTCACTGGCACATCACTTCCATCTTCTGTGCAGTCACTGTAGCTTCCCCCAAGACGCTGGGTGGTTTCCTGTCAATCAATTTACAGCTTGTCAAAATCAATGCAGGTTTTTTTTTCTTTTTTGCATCTGGGTGTCATATCTTTTTTTTTTGCTTGCTGGCTGAAGGTACTGCCTGACTCAAACTCAAAAGTAGAAATGTTCATCTGAAGATTTGTGCTAACGCATCCAGTACACTTTAGGTCAGTGGTGGCGAACCTTTTAGAGACTGAGTGCCCAAAATGCAACCCAAAACCCACTTATGCATCGTTGAGTGCCGGGTGGGTGTGGCCCATTAGCCAAATGGGTGTGGCCCATTGGGTGGGCATGGCCCATTGGGTGGGCGTGGCTGCGGTGGTAACGGCAGACTCGGTGGGACTAAAAAGTTCAATCAATCAATTCCAACTTTGCAAGATTTTTTTTTCCTGCAAGAAGTTGAAATTGACTGATTGAACCTTTTTTTTTTTTTTTTTTTTTGCACATGGTGGCGGAGGCCTAAAGCGAAAAGGTTTTATAAAACCCAGCTGAAGGCCTAGGACTGGGGCAACGGCGTGCATGCCCACAGAGAAGGCTCTGAGTGCCGCCTCTGGCACCCGTGCCATAGGTTCGCCACCACTGCTTTAGGTCAATGTTTCTCAACCTTGGCGATTTTGAGATGTGTGGACTTCAACTCCCAGAATTCCCCAGCCAGCCAGTATAACAGTGTCATACAGGTAGTTCTCAACTTACAACCATTCATTTAGTGACTGTTCAAAGTTACAACAGCACTGAAAAAAAATAGTTATGATTGGCTTTCACATTTATGACCGTTGCAGCATCCCCATGTTCATGTGATCAAAATTTGGACACTTGGCAACTGACATGTATTTATAACAGTTGACAGTTGTGACAAGCAAAGTCAATAGGGGAGCCAGATTCACTTAACAACCATGTTACTAACTTAACAACCACAGTGATTCACTTAACAATTGTGGCAAGAAAGATTGTAAAATGGATCAAAACTTAACTGCCTGGTTTAGCAACAGAAATTTTGAGCTCAATTGTGACCATAAGTCGAGGACTATCTGCATTCTTGTTATTATAACACAATAAGTCATAAAAGTTATACCAGGAGCCTTCCTGTGTGATGGGAGCCTGTGAAAACGATGGTAAGCATTCCATGGTGAAATCCCAAATTTATGGCACACTAAGTGAAAAGGAGAATTATATACTGCGTGAAGCTATGCATTGCACACTGTTTTTCATAAACGTGCGATGAGGGGGATTGTATTTTTCGTATTTACCAAGTGGTGTGAAAGGGCTATTTTATCTTCCTAAAATAGGGAATTATTTCCCCAATTTCATTCTGATAAGAACGCTGTATATTAATCTCTGATACAACAATTGACCACCAACTGCCAGATGCATTTTTTTATTGAGGAAAAACACAAACCCTTGCCCATTTTTTAAAATCAATCAGCACTATGGGAGGACACTTGTTGGGAGCTGTGACATCTTGTAATTTCACAGAATAGATTTCTGTTTTTTGCAAGTAGTGAAGAAAAGGGTCATAGTTGCTTCTTACATTGTGGGATAGAAGCAAGTAAACACTTTTAAGAGTATAGACCAGTTTTTCTCAACCCCAGTAACTTTAACCTGTGTGGATATAATTCCCAGAATGCTGGCTGGGGAATTCTGGGAATTGATGTTCCCACAGCTTAACGTTACTGGCATAGACTGTTCTTTCTGTTCTGTACCTTGTTAACTTTTAACACACAAACATACAAACACACACCCCTAGATAAGAAAATGGTAGGTTGTTTTTATGACAATTCATTGTATTGATGGTTTGTTGACAGATTCTGGTTTTACAGCACCATAATAGCTCATGTTTTCTTTTGGCAAACTATGAGTTCTAATAAACTCAGAACTGAATAAAACTGAACTGAACTGAGCCGGTTCTTTTTTCAGCCTTGTGCTTATATTTCCTTTCTTTGGAAGAGAAGCAATTCCACCCACAGGCTGAAAGCAAGGCTTATCTTCCTCTTGTCTCTCACCTTTCTCATACTGATGGATGTTTCTATGCCAGGACGCACATTAAAACCTCCTTCGTCCATGAAGGCGGGTTCATTCTGATTGTGGACCATTACTCGGGCTCCCGTCACAGTGGACAATAGTGGGATAAAGTCATTTTGCTCTGTTCGGATGACGAGAGAAAGGCCTGCGGAGATAGAAACCAAGGGTGATTATGTGAAGAGATCAAGTGATTCAGGGAGGGAGATATAAAATTTAAAAGAAATTTTGCCACGTTGAAGGAGTCCAAACAATGTTGGAAACAAATGAGATGGGCTATAGTAGCCTTCCAAAGCTTTGAATATGTTTCTGAGATGAAATTCTAATGTAGCAGTACAGTGGCCTTATGCCTGAATGTGCTGACCTTAAAAAAAAAATTCTTAAGTAGAATTTGCTAATGATCTTAAAAATGAATGTAAGACAACCTGGAGAGGGAAAAAATGCCGGTTGGAGTAAAGTCAAGGTACAGTTTGTGCCTTTGTCATTGAGTCATAGAGGCCAGGCCTGTGTTATATAAATAGGCAAACATCACTTCAAACTAGCAGGGAAAGTTCTATTGCTGGATACACCTTTTTACAAAATGTTCTCGGCATAGATAATAAAACTATCTAACACAAGAGTTGCAGCCTAGCCATTGTGTACTATGGAAATAAAGTTAAGAGTACATACATTTTGTGGCAAAAAAAATCTTGAGGCTATTGCTTTGCTTTAAATAACCCAAAGATTAATTTTACATTAAAAAAATAATCTGGTGTGGTTGGAAAGCCTCATGCATCTGCAATTAAGAGCTTGTAGTTTGCTCTCCTTCATTTGGAAGAGAAAATAAGTGCAAAAATCATGATTTAGAAGAAAAACACAATTGAATTGAGAAAGGAATTAAATGGTGACAACTCTGAGAATATCACCAAATCACTCTGATGCCTATGATGTAACGCAAAGTAACTTAAGTTACTTAGAAAAGGAAGAGAACAGTGCAGACTCCTTTTTTAACATGTGTGACTCTGGACTTCATTTTCAATATGGCAAAATTCATATAGAATTTTTCTCCATTCCTTCCCAGTCAAAGGATGCTTTTCCCCTATTCTGTAGTTTTAAAAAATAACTGCAGTATCTCCTTAGTGCAATTAAGCCTATGTCCAGAGGAGCCTGGATACTGAAAATAGAATTTAAAAAAATATTTTTTTCTTTTTGGCCTCCCTAGTATTTGTGCATACAAACAAGGGGCTCATGGCTATTGTTGTAAGAGCCCTTCCAGACATTCATTACCATTTTTTGGCATTTGCTCACCATTGTTGATCCCAGGCAAGGAGGACATCCACAAAGTGCTGCTATTGTCGTTGAACGTGTAGCAGTTCCCATAAATAGGATGATGAAAATGTGTATAGTTCCTGAAAGAACAAAAATAAAGATTGAGGCCAACTGCGCAACTGATTGAAATAATTGAGTTTGCAGCCCTTAGAGGAAAAAGTAGAATAGCATCTTTATTGGGACTCTCTTAACATAAAAAGTTCTCTTATTTAAAATTTTGCGTGTTGGAAAAACAACACACAAAATTTCAACTAAGAGAACATTTATGTTAAGATGGCTGTCTGTATTGTGCCAGGCTAGGTTGAAATGGGATTGTGTGGTTTGTGTTTCAATATGTAAGAACATAGTATTAGCTTATTGTGAGAATCAGAGTATTCCATAAACCATGCTGTGGGCATAACATGTTATTGAACATAGCAGTTATGCATTACTAGCCTGTGTCTAGGGTTTAAGGTATTGTGTGAACTCAACCAAATAATTCTACCTTTCCCACTGTACATGCTGTACCTTGAGATTTTTTTTTGTACTAGAAAGATTTAATAACACATCACGCCTCTTTTGTTCCATGTTAAAAGACTATTGCAGATACTTTTTTAAAAAAAAAATCAAGCCAGGCAACATATTTTTTTCTTCCTTAAAGAAAAATTCAATGAACTAGAACATTATTTAGTTGATTGTAGGAAAGATGTGCAAACTGCTTGTGATTTTTGGTGGGAAATCCTTATAGATGTATAAATGGGCTTCTCTAGAGAAGGTCAGCTTCTAAAATGAGACGGATGAACTTCACGTTGTGTCACACTGCTTATGACCCCCACATTGGGTACAATCAGCAGTGCAGCTGGCATTTATCAATGGTTTTAAATATGTAGGAGAAAGCTTGATGCCAGCAGCAGGTAAGCTTGGCTGAGTGGGTGGGTGTGGGTGGGTGGAGTGTACGCAAGTTGTGAAAGAAATACCAGAGAAAGGTTAACTAACAAAGTCTGCAAACAACTGCTGGAACTAATGGTGGTTGTCCAGGTGCCAGCTGGATCTAAAGGAGCCAATGTTCAGCTGCACTAAAAGGCCATATTGTTCCCAACAAGAGACCCAACCAATGTGGCTAATTCCAGTTTTAAGTGTGGTCACATAGTCATTATTTCATCACCACGACAAATGGAAGCCACTAGGGATTTAATAAACTTTCTGGTTTTGCTGCTTTCCTCACACTGAAAAGTCAGATAAAAGGAGAGAGGGTAGTTAATAAGCTCTTGGCATCAGACTCGAATAGCATGGCCAGTGGACTGTGTCGGCTTGGATGAGTCACAAGTTATGACTCCCTCACCATTCCCTCCAAGAAATTCCTCCAAGGTATTTTGAAGCCATTCTTCACATCTTGTCTGTTTCACTCTTCCCTTTGTGGGGATGAATCCCATCAGAGTTAGTAGCATCACAAACCTTATTATCTTAACTGGAAATCACTTTTTTTCTTATTTCATCTGCATCCTATCTTCTGTCCATGTTTCAGTTGCTCTAGGTCTTGATTATAATTGTGTGTGTGTGTGTGTGTGTGTGTGTTTGTGTATTTCCACAGTGTGTGTGTGTGTATGTGTACACATACATATATACATATATATACACATTCTTGATTATAATGTACACACACATATACATACATACATACATACATACATACATACATACATATATATATACACACACCCACAGAAAGAGAGAGAGATGTAAAGTGGACAAGCAGAAGCATTTTCAAAAGAAAGGAAAAAAGTGAAACTAGTTGTTGGACAGTTATTGAGAAGAAACAAATCTGTAAAACATTTACCCAGATGACTTCTGTTAATACTAATCTCCATGTTCTAAGCTATTGATTTTAGAACAATCCCCCTGCCTGGAATGGGGATGGTGCAGTAGCTCAGCAATTAAAATACTGAGCTTGTTAGCTGGAAAGCTGGCTGCCCAGGTTCAAGATCCAGCACCATGCGATGGGGTGAGCTCCCATCCTCGTTCCAGCTCCTGCTAAACTATCAGTTTGAAAGCATGCAAATGCAAGTCGATAAATAGATACCACTTTGGTGGGAAGGTAACAATGCTCCGTGATGTCATGACTTGGAAATGTCTTTGGACAATGCTGGCTCAATGGCCAACGGAGATGAGCACTGTCCTCTATAATTGGCAACAACTAGTGGAGTAAAATTCACAGGGACTCCTTTTTGTAACCTCCCTGGAATAGGAAATGCTAAGGGGAAAAATGGGGAGTGCAATGAAAATGGGGCAAATATGAGAAAATGTCTTATCCTCCCCTCCCAAAGTCTCCATCCTTCTTTTTGTAGTTCTTCAAAATGATCTTTGAAACTAAGTAAAATGTCACTTTAATTCAACGGGATTTCACAAATATAGCACTTCTACTCTGTCGTGGGTGTATGATATTATTATATAATCTCATCTATTGGGTAACTATGAGGTCATCAATAAATTTATGCTCAAATAATTTATTGACTACACAACTTCAGTATGGTACATATCAGCATGTCTTGGAAGCTATTTTTATATGTTTTTTTTGTTCAGTGAAGTAGGTCCATAGTTCCCTGTGCTGTTAGGAAAGTAGATATGAGATCAGTACAAAATACATCAGATGCTTAACAGGACTGGTGATTGAGAACCTAGCTTGTTAAAAGGGCTAACAAATTGGGGGCACATTTCAACCCTACAAGTGCAAATCTTCTTAGCTTAGGATCTGGCACCATTGGAAAAATCTCCCATAACGACCGTCCTGCTTGTCGAAAACCATTTAGGTATGAGCACAAATGGCAGTAACGAGGGGAAAACACAGAACGTCCTTCTCCTGGTGAGTGAGCCATGATTGGTACCTTTTGATTTCCACCCAAGTAAAGATTTTATATATAAAGCAAACTTAGTCTTCTGATTAAGATGATGGAATTGAATAAAAATATTCAATTCCATTTTCTTAATCAGAAGAGTAAGTTATTCTGAGGATCGTCTATCTAGCTTTAGCTTCATATGATGCTGCTATATGTATGTTGATTTGAGATTTGAATAAGGAGTAAAATTACACCTCCAAGCCCAAATCAGATATTTATGTGTTCAGTGGAAGGCCTGAAATGAACTTCTATGTATTTCGGAAATCTACATACAGCCCTCCCCATAAGACTGGAAAGCAGTTAAGGAGTCTAAGCCTATGTAAAGATTCATTGTCCTCACCACTAAAGCAAATGAAATTCAGGCTTTGTGATGAATGAGTGATGTGTTGGTATAGACTACACCTGCTAGCTACTCCCATCAATAGTAGTAATAATCTAGCCACAAATAGCTCAACACATAATTTGTTTAGTGTGTCACCCAAGCCTTGTCACATTCCTCTGGGGATCAGCCAGAGAAGGAGGCCAAGAAGGTGTTCAGATCTACTGGTCAGTTTTCCAAGCCTGCTCATAGGAAAAGCTATTAGATGTGTTTATTGGTATCATGAAAACTGTCCCTTTCTTGGTAAATTTAGAGTTTACTTAGAAACTTAGTTTTATGGATGAAGTGGCAGATTTTCTTACTTTACTGCAGACTATACTGCAGACTATAATCCAACTACCTCTTGAGTAAATGGTGATTAAAAACTTATGTAGATCATGTCAGGACTTCCTTCCATTAAGCTCAGGACCCAGACCTATCACTTTGTTTTTTTGAAATAAATTTAAATGATAGTGTGAATCAGTCAACATCGATAATCAAATTATTGATAATAATAAGGTGGGTTGTTGATAGTTTCAATAAAAGGAAATGATGAGAACTAAGACTGGAATGGTAGGGACTTAAGTGATCTATGGAGCAATAATGTTGGAACTCACGCTTTGTTACATGTCACTTCGTTGAATCGGCAGGCATAGATGAAGCTTGTGAAGTTGGATTCCTCTAGGGCCTTAGTGTCAGGGAACTTTGCCAAAATGTTGATGTAATGAAAACTGTACCACTCCCGTATGGCATCCACACCGGAGGAATACATTTGCTGGAAACAATCTGTCTTGTTTTCATTACACTGAAAAAGAAAACAATCCCATTCAATCCATTCTGGAACAAGAATGAACTAAGCAAGATGGGAAAACATTCCCAATTATAGAGGAATCACTGGACAAGGGACCCCAGATGATCCTTTGAAAACCTCTTCTCCATCTATAGAATCAGATGTATGTCCGTATGATGTTTTTAATCCACAAATCAACAAGAGCCTCATTATTAATGTAATGAATTCAGCAAATCTCTTTATTTCTGAAAACTTGTCAACATTCTCAGAAATCGGAAGATGAAGTAATTTTTTTCTGTTTAGTCTAGATTTAATGACATGTTTAAGGACTGAATCAACCCCACAGTGATATACAAGAATATGATATGGATCTTTTTTAAAAAAACATATTTTTCTTCCTTTTTATATTTTTAATAGTAACACGTGGTCTTTTAAAAATTGTATACTGTATTGTTGGTGTTGTAATTGCTTGCGTTTCAGTAATATAATAATGATGGTGATGATGCTATATACTGGATTCAGTGATCAGTAGAACTGCCCTCAAATAACTTAATCACTTGTAATAAGATTACCTTATTTAGAACATAATGACAGAGTTGGAAGTGACCTTGGAGGTCTTCTAGTCCAACCCCCTGCTCAGGCAGGAAACGCTATACCATTTCAGACACACACGCAGATATGATAGATATTGGGAGGATAACATATTCATGATTTTGATTGGATGCTTTTCAGATCCAGGAATTTGGCCATGAAGGTGATTGAGGGGGTCTTGGCACAGTTGTAGAAAAAGAATCTGAAATCATGCTTACCAGGGTGAAACCAATGCTCGAATCACTTTTGCCCACTTGGGGGTTGTTGTCCTCCATGTTGGCTCGTATATCACGTTTACGTCGATGCAATGGGTAGCGCTGAATATGATTGTATAGACTCCTAGAGATGCGTTTCTGAGAGGATTTGTGCTCCAAAGACATATTGTATTTGTACATCTCCAGAAGAGTCTGTCGGGTCATTTGATCCAATTCTTCCATCTCTTTCCGAAAAGCACTATACCTAAAAGATGGAAGAATTGGCTTCAGGGATACAGTATCCAATTGTTAATGAGTTGCTGGTCTTCAGATGTGTGAGACTATAACTCCAGAAATCTCTGTCAATAAGGCCAAAATTCAGCATATCCAAAGGCACAAGCTCGGGAATGCTGAAGTTCACGTCCTTTTAACAATACGGTATATCGGAGGTGAGCAGAAGATGAATTAGGATCAAGCTGAACTGGAATTCTTATCAAGATTGTTGGACTGAGGGTATCATTTCTAGAACAGGGAAGATCTATCTATTTCAGGTCCAAGGTCACTTTCGGTTTTTTGTAACTCGTTAAGGTTTATACTCACAGAAATGGGCAGGGCCAGTGGAAAAGCAATTGAGGTCATCAAAACACAACAACAACAACTACAACAACAATGTGTGCCCATCTTAGTCTTGATCACCCCACCCCACTCTTCCAAGCTTTGGCTTGGTCGTTGCATTCCCATCAACTTATCACTTGTCATTTTGTAATAAATTATTTTAAGCTTAAATTAATCCCTATGATAACAGTTATAGTTTATCTTACAGTACTGAAGAAGTGCATCTATTTTTGAGATTATTCTCTGTTTTTGTCCATTCTCATCAACCATTATAGTATTTTGTTAAAAATCAATTACCATTACGAATAATTTTTAAAACAATCCATTGACTCGACCTTTCTCTTTCCTACCATTCCTTCAATTAAATTAAATTTTAAGTTAAATCCTAATAATTTCCCGGTCTTCATCATTTTTGTTATGCTTTCTAGCCCAAGCACCACATAATTAAAAGCAGTTCCAGAATTCTTGACTCTTGGAGCATGTCTCCCCTACAATAATGCTATTCATTCATCCTTGTGTTAGTAGAAAATATGATAGCATGACATCTGTTGTCCTTGTTGCTGACCCTTGTCCGTCTCAGTGATGTCTGTGTTGCAGTCGCTCTGAATCACGTGACTTGTGACAAAGCCTAACAGATTTCACACACCTTGAGGAAGGATAGGGAGAAAATTACTGTCACCAGTGCAGCTAATGACAACTTACGCAGCTGCCTGTCTCATTCACGGACTGGGGAATGAGATGAAGGCAGTCTCAGGGAATATAAATATAAAAAAGATTTTTAGGCCATGGTGATGCCATATTAGGCATTACTGGGAAGATATTTTGCAATAGCAGCCATGTCTCTCTAGGTAAGTTGCACCCTTGAAGAAGAATTCAAGAATTCAACCTCTACAATCTGAACATCTGCGGAAATATAAGGGTAATTTCATTTAAAATTTAAATTTCTCTTGAAAATCCTGAAGCTTTTCTTGGGCACTAATGATTTGTCAGAGATATTTTGTCGCAAGTAACCGTGCCTTGTAAAAATAATGTAAAAATTGTTATAGGAACACTGAGAAGTAATCCTTTAGTTCTACATCACTAAAATCTACAATGCTACAGCTACAGATAGCCACAACTTACAGTGTTGTTAAGTGATGCAGTCATAAAATGTGACATTACGTGACTGCACCTCTTAGTGAGAGCAATCCTAGCTGCCCGGTTGTTGTTGTAATTCCGGACATATCGTTGCTAAGCAGGATGGAATGCTAGGTAAGGAGCCTGGAGGGGGACATAAGGGGGCTTGGGGCAGTTCACGTGCAAGACGTGGTGGGTGTTGCAGTGTGGCACAAGTTCAAGGAGGCCAGAGAAAGAATGTGTGTGAGTGAGGTTCAGGTGCACTTGATTGCTAATATCTCCCATATTGAAGGGAGTTCTGGGCCCTGTATTGAAGCTTTGAGGGGAAGGGTAACTGTGCACTTTTAACAGTCAATAGTTTCTCTTGTTTTATAAACCAAATGCCCTGATGGATCACAGTTCCCCAAATACCAATGCCAGGAGAGCAGAACACGCAGACCTGAAAGATCAGCAGTCTTACCTATACGGATTGAGAGTACATAGTGTGACAGCAGGAAAGGTAAGTCTATCAGAGTTCAGGTTCAAATTCAAATTGACTGGAAAGCTGAAATAATCTTTATAAATGATTCCAAACTGCCAGTACAAGAGGCCAAAAGTCAGGAAAAAAAGAACTGTCCAAAAGGCAGTCTTCATCTTATTCCTCTTAGAACAAACCAGCCGGATGGCACCATGGATGGTAGTATTGTTGCAAAAAAATTGGAAAAGGTCCTGGTAGGAACTGAAGAATTCGATCAGGCCTTCGCTTTCTTCCTCTTCTTCCACCTCAGTTTCCACCTTCACATTCTGTTGCTTTGCCTCCAGTCTGGGCTGCTCCATCTTCTTACCTTCTGACTGATTTTCAACCTTCATAGCTGAAAGCTGGAAAGGAATATTCAACAATATTGTGAATTTTCTGCTTCTGATTTTACCATTCATATATGAAAGTCTTGATATCAGATAAAAAGACTTGGCATTTTGAATGTGACATTGTGCCTTGGTATCTGTAACTGAGTGGAGTACAGCCATACACTATGCGTGCTTCTTTGAAGATAAATCCTAATGAATTCAATGCAACCAGGTTTCCAGGTAACATTGCGGCCAGAAACCTCTTCCATGTATCATTATGATATTGGCAGGCCTCAGATGTAATTTTTCAGAATCTATAAAATTATGCAAAATATTAAAGTAGTATTACTTTAAACGTTAACCTGTTGTTATAACATAACTCTCTGGACTTAAAATATGGATTTTTGTGGACGTTTAACTTTAATGCTGGATATTACGTATAACAAGTTAACTATCATGTACAAATAAATCAGGTTTATTTTGTTCAGTACTTAACACAAGACTAGCTCTGATTAATGGTTTTATCCATTAGTCTAATTTGTGGGTTTGCACAATAAATAAACAAACTATACTGTAAATAGCCGTATGGACTGCATATTTTAAAATATGAATCTTTGTGCAGTCTTTATTTCTTCTGTTCAATGCTTAAAATAATAGCAGAACAGAATATGAATGAATAAGCACCAAAAATGGACTCAAACTGGGGAAGGCATGCCAAAAATCCTGTTGTTTTTTTCTGAAGTGTTTTGCATCAGAGCTTGCTCATCATTATCTATCATATCTAGACTCTGCTGAGGTGATGATAAATTGTACTATATGAGTGAGTGAGTGAGTGAGTGAGTGAGTGAATGAATCATGTGGCTAGAAGAGTTGTCCTCTCCTGTGCCCTCTTCTCTGTTTTTTCCCCTCTCCTTTATTATTAAACTTTAGCTCCTTGAGCCTCAGGATTTTTTCTTTTGCTTATGTCACTCTTTATGCAAAGTCCTGTAGTAAGTACATCAATAAGTGATGAAACAAATAATCAATAAAAACCTGATGCAGCAGGCCAAGCAGGAAATTCCATTATCACTGAATAAAAAAATTCCAAAATAATGGCCTCGGAGAAAAGACATAGCACCTGCTCGTAACAAACGATACATTCACTAAGTAAAGTGAAAAACCAGTTGTCATTACTGTATGATGGTCCTTCCTTACCATATATTTACAGAAAATTGCACTGTTGTTTGTTAAACATATTATCAATGTGGATCTGGGATTATAGGCATTAAATGAGAAAATGGACGTTGCTGGTTCATATAATCTGAAAATCTGTTTATGGTTGTCTCGTAAAGAAAACAAGGATCAGAAATAAAAACTTGCCAGCTTTGTTATTTCTTTACATAGACTTCAAAGTATTTATCATTCTTTAGTCTAAACTTTTGATTTAATCTCTGCACTGGCTGTAGCAATTTGTGTTTTATTATTACCATAAACTGTTTTGTGAAGTTCCTTATCTGAAAAACAGCTTAAAAATGTGTAATAGGTCTGAAACTACTTCATTAGGGGTGTACTCTCTGGCTAAAAATATACTGACATCAGGGCTGAATCTCTCTCTCTCTCTCTCTCTCTCTCTCTCTCTCTCTCTCTCTCTCTCTCTCTCTCTCTCTCTCTCTGTNGATGCAAATGGGTATTTCACTGCCATTTTTTTCACAAGATATGACAGGGAATGAGATGGGGAATAGCCATCCTCAAGCTGGTGACTAATTTTCCCATGTCACAATGACAACTTAGGATGCATGTAAGGCTACTCTGTTCCTAGTCACTGCCCGTTACAAAACCCTACCTAAGGAAGTTACATATTCCCATAGAGAATAAATTGGTTGTTGGCAAAGGCCAGGCATTCCATTCCAATCATTGTCCTTGCTGATTAAACACTCCTGAGCACTTTTGCTCAGCAGGTTCACAGCTTGAACAGCGTGGAGAACAAATAGTTGTGTCATGACTTGAAGGTTCTGGATTGTCTTCAAGTGCAGCCCCGTGAAAAGAGTGGTGTGGTATTCAAGCTGGAGCTTAAAGGTATTTATCAGCAACAAGGCAAGCTCCTGGTGTAGAGAGAAAACAGACAAGCTTTCTAGTGAAATGAGATGGCAAAAGACACTTTCCACCAGAGGCTAGGATGGACATAGAATTAGGGCAAGACTTTTAAACTGACTGAAATATATATCATTCTAGGCAGGCAAATTCCATATAGTATCAGTACTGTGTCTGTTATCTGTCTGCCTGTCTGTCTCTTCTTCCCAACTAATCATGGCCTCCATATGTCTAGGACAGGTGTAGGCAACCTTGTCTCTTTTATGACTCGTGGACTTCAGCTCCCAGAATTCCTGAGCCAGCATGACTCAGCTTGGAAACCTCTCCCTGTCCCCTCAGCATGGCTGGCTCAGGAATTCTGGGAGTTGAAGTCCACGAGTCATAAAAGAGCCAAGGTTGCCTACCCCTGGTCTAGGATAAAGACAGCTGATCCCAAGTTCTGAGTTAAAATTACAGACCATCTCAGTCAAGAATTCCATATAGCATTGAACAGTACTATAGGACTGATAGTATTAACTATTTACTAGATAGCTATTAATGCTATAGTATTGTAGAATACTAGCACAATAGAAAAATAGTATTAATGATGATCTTTTGACACCTGTGAAAGCTTAGAGCAGAATTTCCAGAAATGAGAATCCTCTTCCTCTGAGCCCATTTAAAAAAAAAAGGAAGAAACCCACAGGAGGGTTTTCCCTGAAACACCTGCCAAATGTAAAAACGTAATTTAAATAACTTGCCATTGTGCTGAAAGTTAACTTAAGCCCAGTGCTAGCAAAGAAGGGACAGTCCCTTTGTCTTATTTCGAGAAAAAGTTAATCCACTAGAGTTGGTCAATGGTCTGTGCCAAAAATGTCCTTCTGCAATGCACCACTTTTTATTATGAATCTGTATTATCAGCTCCCTGCCTCATTTTGTTCTCTCTTTTTCTCTCCTTCTCTCTCTCTCTCCCCCCCCCATCCTTTGGCTTATCTAGATGGATTCTGGCATTTAAAACAACTTTTTCTGCCAGTTGGGCCCCAGTCCATAAAAGGAGACAATGTAGAGAGGGCTCATCACCTCTTAACTCTCAGCTTTCTTGATGCTGCACTTAGAACCTCTTCCCCAGATATATACACAAACTCAGCAACTTTGATTTTCATGCAAGCCAAAAGAGAGAATTCCCAGCAGAAGACAAAACAAGTGGGGAGCAGTGAGGCGATAGGATAGGATAGGATAGGATAGGATAGGATAGGATAGGATAGGATAGGATAGGATAGGATAGAATAGAATAGAATAGAATAGAATAGAGCTGGAAGGGACCTTGGTGGTCTTCTAGTCCAGCCCCCCACTCAAGCAGGAGAACCTATATCATCTCAGACAAATACTGTCCAGTCTCTTCTTAAAAATCTCAGTTGATGGAGTGCCCACGATTTCTGGAGGCAAGCTTTTCCACTGGTTAATTGTCCTCACTGTCAGGGACGTTCTCCTTAGTTCCAAGTTGCTTCTCTCTTTGATCAGTTTCCAACTATCCCAACCAGTAAGCAAAGGAAAGTTTATCCTCCTCCCCCCAAATTCTCCTTTGTGGATCAGTCTCTCCAAAGATGCTTATTATTGTCGTTGGAGTTTAATACATCCACTTTGAGTGTCATCTCTATCTTGTTCTAAGAATAAATCAAAACCAGCCTGCTATGACTTTTCCATGTTTTTTTTTTTTAAAAATCATTGCACTGACTGTCGACAGTTCATCATTGTGGCATGCGAAAAAGCACTGATTTTTTTTTTAAACCCAGTAATTAAATCTCAGGAGATACAAGGCACAAGGTAAACCACAAAAGGAGCGGCTGGATAAACAATGCGATACAGGAATCGTGGCGGGAGGGGGGAAATAAAGAGACATTCTGTTCTTGAATGAGCTACATACCATAATTGCATGGAAGCGAGGAAAGGTTCGCTCTGGAAATGAGAGGGTGGCTACTGGCTGTTCACTACTTCAGCATCATAGCACACAATTCCTAAAGGGAAAACATTCCCTTCACGAGAGGGAACAACGGGCTCATTCCATCAGGGATGAGCTTACAAAGTTGGCCCTGGAGTGCTTCTAAAGTCTGGATCAAAGGCAAAAAATCCCTATCTGATCGATCTACCTGTCTGACTCTGTCTCTGTTTGCTTGGAAATCCTGTTCAGCTGCATAGATTTTGAAACAATGGTACTTTTTAATAGTCCACGAGAAAATCATCGGCATCCTCCTCTCTCCCTTCTCACATGCATCTCACTTGTCCTTGATCACCTCCAAAGATCTTTCTCTCCCTCTGCACTCTCTGTATCTGGCAGCACTACAATAAATGGAGACCAACCTCATGCCTTTTCCTTGTGGTGATGCTCTTGCCTTGGTGGCTTCTCCAGAGGAGGGCATCTGGGGGGGGGGGATGTCTCTCCTCCAGAAGAGAGAGGTTTCCTCTTCCTTCTCCTCCTTCTTCACTCTGATCAGAGAAGGCTGCCCTTGGCTTGCTGGCAGCTGCCTTTTCCTGATAGTTGGGATTAAACTGGTTCCTTTCCAGATCAATCTAGCAACTTGTCCTGCTCTCGCTCTCCCTGGCTCTCCCCGCCCATGCAAGGGGCTGGGATGAAAGAGAGGTTTCTTGAGCTGCAGTGGCAAGCAGCAGCAGTGTCTCAATTCACTGATTAGTAGATGAGGACAGGAACAATTGGTAAAACCAAGAGAAGACACCAAGGAGATAATTGCTCTACAAACATGTTCTGCTTAAATCTGAGGACTTATGAGTTATTAAACCACAGTGCCTAATTTTAAACGGTACTTGGGTTCTAACTGCGCATCAAACCTGCTTCATCTTTAGCTCCAGCTAATGGTCACTGATTTTCTATGAGTTTAGTGCGAAATAAATCTGTGAAATAATCTTTCTTTCTTAATCAGGAGAGAAAAAGAGGCCAAGGAAATAGAGGGTGCTGACTG